CTAACGCACCCACGTAGTGCCGCTCTGGAAGCTGGTGTGTCACGCCCGCCTGCCGGTTAATGATTGGCGCAAGCCCTATGGGTAGTTCGACCACTAACACGTTCTCTATCTCCTCTTCCGGGAAGTCGTCCTCCACCACTTCCTCCAACCCGTCGTCGACCACTTCCACGTACTCCACCAATTCCACGTCCTCTGCCACTTCCACGTACTCCACGTCCTCTAAATCTTCCACGTTCTCTACCACTTCCACGTACTCCACATCCTCAACCACTTCCATGTCCTCAACCCCATCCATCTGGACTTCTGCCACTTCCAAGGCCTCCACCACATCCATCTGGACTTCTGCCACTTCCAAGGCCTCCACCACATCCATCTGGATGTCCCCGAACACCTAAAAGTTTGGTTGAGTTTAGAGTATTTTATTTCCATTGCATAAAATTATTATTGTTTAACCAGGAATTAATATAGTGTTTATCAGTGTTTTTGTAAATAAGTAGGTAAAAATAAATAGGAATGTGTTCAATGTGATCAAGATAACTACACCTATACAAAACTTAATACAATCTTTTTAGTACCTACCTGCTGTAGTATAATCTAAAATTGTCATTGTAGTAAGCAGGTATATTGAGATAGTAAAATATGTATAGTGACTTTTATTATAGTTGAATAAATAAATTTAAACTTTAAATTAAAACTTTGTTGAATGAACAATATGTATAATAAGCCATAGCTATCAATCAAATAAAAGGTGAAACAGGTGAACAGTGAAATGTTGTTGTTTTTATAACGCCTAGGTTAAAAGTACATTTAGTCCACTGAGTCATAACTCTCATTCATAGTTCACCTGAGATTTCCAAGAGAAAAAAGTCTACCTAAATAACAAATCAGTACAATGCTATAGGTTAAGATAAATGTTGTATTAAAAATGCACAGAAGAATGTTTATTTGGTTTTATAGGTACATATTTATAATCCTTCAAACAACAATAACTATGAAACATTGTAAAAATGTATTGCACTGTATAACACTAAATGTTACAGTGAAATTATATGATAATTTAGGGTTTATGCTATACCTAAATCTAAGCTCTGTCTAACCTAACATCAATCCAATCCATTGTATTAACTTTTGAAATAATATAAAAATTTCTAAGAGTACCACTTGTTAAATGATAAATTGCCTATATAGTACACGACTTACTTACCTAGGTCAGTAGTAAGTAGTAGTAGTATTATTTTGTTCATTGGTTGTAAATACCCAACAGAGAGTTAACTGTGACTTACACTACCTATTGCGTAGGAGTGAATATACAGTTTATCATTTTAATAAAATGAATAAAAATAAAGTGTAATTTAATACAGAATTTTAACTTCCAACAATAAAAAGAAGACATTTTAATGGAAGTGTGTTCATTCATAATTAGTATAATCTTGTGTTGGTTAGGTATGTGTGACTTTGATTTTAAAAATGTATTGCACTCTATAACAGTTACACTAATAAAAGCATATATGTTGTGATTTAAATAATTTTTAAGTTAGTTGTATAAATTGCTAACAATAAGACAATATGTGAAATGATGAAATACTTATCCAGTACACAATTCACAAAGAGTTATGTACAGAAACGATGTATATAATATGTATCTAAGAGCACAGTGAATAATTAAGCATGCAACATATTTTAACCGTAGGTTAGACACCAGGCACGTAGCCAGGGGGGGCCTGGGTGGGCCGGGCCCACCCTAAATATACTCTGGCCCAAGGCCGGCCCCCCCAAATTCAAAATATAATTATTTTTACCAATTATCAAAAATGTGATTATGCACATTGAGAGAAATCTATTGTGATTACTATTAGGTAATACAATTATTATTGTAATAATTTAATTTTTATATTCGGGGAACCGCGGATAACTTTATCTGAAAAAAATACAATTTAATAGGGTCTTGATACCCTTTTTAAAAACAATAATATATTAGCCGCAGTTATAAGTCTATGCTAAGTTAGCTTGCGAAAGAACTTTTTCATGTCTGAGACGACTGAAAACCTTTCTGAGGAATCGCATGACAAATGATCGTTTAAATAATTTAGCTTCAATAAGCATAAAAAAAAATTCTAAAAACTTAGATCTAGATATTTTTGTACAATTGTTTTCGGAAAATCATAAAAACAGAAAAATTATTTTATATTGCACTGTTTAATATTTATATAAGTATAAGTGTATTATTAATATTTTCTACTAGTATGTGTTTTTTTTTTTTTTTAATAAATTTGAGTTTCTTTAAAAATTATATTAATTTAAAAATCGATGATCATTTATCTCTATTATTTTTGATAAGTATTCAAATATGAATTAATTTTTGAAGTTAAACAATTGAAGCAGCTTATTATTTTAAATATGTATGTAGATTTATTTTTCATAGCATGAAAAATGTATCCCATAAGTGAAGATGTAGGTAATTCTATATTTATTTTTTTTTTTGTTATCAGGTACTTTCTATTTTTGTAATTCTTAAATAAGTAAGTATTAGGTATAACTTGTTGTGAAAAAAATAGTTTTAACCAATTACCAACTAAAGGTAAATTATTTAAATTAATAAGATTCTTTGTATTGCATACCCCTTACAAGAATTTCATAAAGAAAAATTTTGGAAAGTAATAAAAGGGCCAAACATTATTGGCCCCCCTAGTAGAAATTTTCTGGCTACGTGCCTGTTAGACACTACTATTTATTATTATGATTGTGTTGTGTGAATAGCAAATAACTACATAATGTTTTGTAGAACCACAAAAGAAAGGTAAATATATTTAGGAGGACAATTGGTGAATATCAAAATCCATACTCAAAGCTTTCATACACATTTATAATCTTTCTAACAACAATAACTTTGAAACATTGTAAAAACGTATTGCACCGTATAACAGTAAGTGTTATAGTGAAATCATATGGTACATGTTGAAGTTCAAATCATTTTCAAAAGAGCTGTACAAAATAATATTTAATTGAATGTGCGACTACGCCTACATCTAAGCTCTGCCCAACCTAACAACAAACCTAACATCATTGTAATAAGTATTAAAATAATATAAACATTACTAAGACTACTACATGTGAATTGATAAAAAAAAACGTATCTAGTACACAACTTACAAATGACCCAGATCAGTAGTAAGTAATGTTGGTAGTAGTAGTTGTAGTAAGATGTAAGAAAATGTTTAAGTATTTTGTTCATTGGTTGTAAATACCCATAATAAAAGTTAAAATACAGTGAGTTGAACTTTTAATGGTTGTGTGTACATACATAACAGTAAGTGTATGTACTCATATGCAATAAGTGCATTTATACGAAATTATTATATGATAAGTTTATGTTACACTAATTTTAAAGAGTCTTCAATGTGATAAGATCAAGTACACCTATATCTATCACCACTATGTACCAAATAACACACATTAGTAGTAAATATGTTACTCTGTATATTATTTTTGTGCATTGAATATCAAAATCCATACTCAAAGCTTAACCTTATCTTAATACATCAAAGTATAATCTAAAATTTACATTGTAGTATGCAGATAAACTGACTTTGGTATAGTTAAATAAATAAATTTTAACTTTAAAATCAAGTACTAATCAAAAAACAAAGAAATTCACAGAAGAATGTTTAGTTGGTTGCGCATTCATACATATTTATAATCTTTCTAACAACAATAACTTTGAATCATTGCAAAAACGTATTGCACTGTATAACAGTAAATGTTATAGTGAAATCATATGATACATGTTGTAGTTCAAAGAGCTGTACAAAATAATGTTTAATTGAATGTGTGACTACACCTAAATCTAAGCTCTGTCCAACCTAACATCAATACAATCTATTGTATTAAGTATTAAAATAATTTAAACATTTCTAAGAGTACTGCATGTGAAACTTATCTAGTACACAACTTACAAATGGCCTAGGTCAGTAGTTAGTAGTAGTAGTAGTAGTAGTAGTAGTAGTAGTAGTAGTAGTAGTAGTAGTAGTAAAAAAGAGTGTGTTGTTCATACATAATTTAATATAATCTTGTGTTGGTTACCGTAACAATAACAAACATTAAAAAACTCTATAACAGTAAATGTATATGCAATAAGTGCGTTTATATGAAATTATATAGGTATTGAAATCTCATAAACATGTCTAAGAGTACCACATAAAAGTTAAAAAACTGTGAGTTGAACTTTTAATGGTTGTGTGTTCATACATATTGAATATAATCTCGTGTTGGTTAGGTTTAACCTCTTCATGCACGACTTTTTAGATTTTCAAAAAAAAAACCTCCTATATAGAATTTGGGCCGTAAATAATGAGAAAAATAGTTAAAAAAATCTAGGACCAACCCTTATGTCGTGAAGATAGATTACAACCCAGTTATCATATGATACCTCTGTGCATATTTGGAACAACTTTTTTTTAAATGCATTTTTATAATTAATACATTTTAAATTTTGACAAATTAAAATTATTAAATACACATTAACTATATACTTAAGGTAAATATATTGGGTAGGAGGTGGACATGCCCCCTGGAATATCTAGGATATCTACAACTTGAATAACTATAAAGATGTTTGTATATTTAATGTAATCCAAACATAAAATAATAACAATTTGTAAGAAATAAAAACAATATTTTCACAGCTTGTGAACATACCCTGTATAAAATAAAAATTAAATCTTTCACAGCTTGTGGTTATAAATAGATTAAGAATAATAGTAATACAATTAATATATGCATAAAATAAAAAATATGTTACTAACAAAATAAAAATAAATGAAAAACTTCTTTCATACTCTGTATAAAATTAAAATAATAACTTGTAATATTTCTTATGAAGATAATATAATAATAAAAATAGTAAGCAATAACTAAATTGCACAAAATAAACATAAAAACAATACTAAATGTTACCCAACAAATATCAAAACAAAGTAAAAAAAAATATTATAGTTCATTCTTTATTTTCTATGGAAGTCTTCCATGCACTCTGGACAAACTGGAGTATCACATTTTTTACAAATATACCTAGTTCTTGATTTGCAATATAAATTATGACACTTAGAAGCTTGAGCTTTTGTCGTTTTACCAGGATAATGTTCCTTACCATCATATCTTATTTCTGAAACTACAATGCAATGGAAACATTTTTTTTTTTTTTTTTGGTGGATCAGATTGTAAGGAAGGCCTGCCTCTTTTTGGTGTATCACATTTTCCTATTTGGAGCATGGTCCAAACAATTGATGCTTTAAACTGAAGAAGTGGTATATTTTGACAATTTTCTTTGTATATTATCCATGAGTTAATTATACTAATATTCAAAAAATGAAAAAAAATCCTCAAGTACCATTTTTTGTTCTTGAATCCATGAGGGTAATGAGCAATCATTCTATCCATGAGGTCCACACCCCCCATGAATTTATTGTACTCCTGTATAGCAAATGGACGAGTGACTTCAATTTTTTTCTTTTCCTTCCTATCATAACGTGAAGTTATATCTTCAGGACTAGCCCCAGCATATAGTATGTACTAGTTTAGTATCTTTCCATCGTACAACAGTCAGATTGTCATCAGATGTGGCTATTGAACAGTTACCTCTTTCCAACAATTTATCTTTGACTAGGTAATTTTCAATTCCAGTTACTCTATTCAATCTTAGAGTACCAAGGACATGTATGTTTAGAGACTTTAATTTTCTTAATAGTGGAACAGTAGTAAACAAGTTATCCATGAAAAGTTTATGGTTTTCACCATGTATTGAATGACACAATTTCAAAACTGTATCACCTATTGGACCAAAAAGTGACTTTTTGTCTTTCGAGGCACCTTGATAAAGCTCAAAACAATGTACATATCCATTGGTTCCGGCTTGAACCCAAATTTTAAATCCCCATTTTTTAGGCTTTGATTTTAAGTATTGTTTTAATGAACTCCTACCCTTAAAAGGAACCATCATTTCATCAATGGCTATATTTTGACTAGTTGATATAGCTGAATGAAAAGAATTGTGTAAAATGTCTAAAACAGGTCTAATTTTCCAAAATTTATCAGTTACTACTTGAGGTTTTTCATAATTGTCTACAAAATGAATAAACCTTTTAATTTCGGCAAACCGGTTACAAGTCATAGCATCAGCAATAAGGTTCATTCTCAACCCCTCTTGAGAAGACGAATACATTCTTACATTTGGGTATTTTATATATGTCATTGCTATGTTGATTGCAAAAAACACTTTCAATTCTTTTATAGATAAGTTGAAATTTTCTTTTCCATTTTGAACAGCATATTTTATTGTTTCAGTTCTTATTTTTTCAAAAAGAGATTCAGTGAATAATTGTATAAAAACAGAATAAGGAGTAGTTTCTTTTACATTTATATTAATTAATTTATTGCCAGTAAAAGTAGGTATGGAGTTTGTATGCTTATTATCCCTACCAGGAAACCATTTTGTCTGTTTTGTATTTTTTTTCTTGACAGGTAAACAATTATGTTTATTATTGTTAATTTTTAGTAAAGCAGATTTTTTAAACTTAGTTTTACTTTTAGAATCGGTTGATGGAGTTTTTCTTTTTTTATTTGTTAGTGACCGAGTGGCTATAGGATTTAGAATTTGGTTAGATGTTTGTGTGGGTGAGACTAAATTGTTTTGAGCAGCAACATCAGATTTTGGAATAGTTTGTTTGCTAACATTACTATCTGTTTGTGTTTGGAGTATTATGTTATTAAAAAAACTATCAAAATCATGTACATCATTTTCGTCGATTATTACAAAGCCATCAGGCTCATTAGATGGATTATTATTTTCAAACCTTATATCATTGTCCATATCCCCTAAGAAGTTAATATATTGAGGCAATAAATTTAAGTTTTCAATATTATCTTCCTGGTCATCATTTTTGTTTGTATTATTCTCAGCATCACTATCATCGTCTTCACTATCACAAAAGCTGACTTCTGAGTCACTTGGTATTTCAAAGTCCAAGAACAACTCAATTTCATCGTCTTTCAACTTCTCCATTTATTATTACTAAAATAAAAGCAAATGTATTATTACCTAGGTAATAGTTTTTGTTAGTATAGTTGTAGGTACCAATTATGCACAGTTGTATCAAATGATACCGAGTATATTACCTAACAATAATAGATGTCAAAGATCAAAATTGACTCTTAACTGTACTCTTACGTGTACCTTATACAAAAACAAACCTAAAAAATATTTTTTGATGTAGCTAAAATATTTTAACGATAAGATATAACAACAGTTTTGGCTGTATATTTTGCGTATTATCAATACAGTAGGTTATCACACATGTGACTAAAAATTATCATATAGTCTGAACATAGGAACGAATATTATGAGACGGTTGTTATCAAGTGTATCATATGATATCTTTATGCACAAATGGATCAAAAATATTTAACAGCTGCTTTATAAGCGGTTTAAATTAGTTGCGGTATCATATGATACCTACATGCACGAAGAGGTACCGTAAAAATAACAACAGACACATTTTAAAAATGTACTGCACTCTATAACAGTAAGTGTATGTACTCATATGCAATAAGTGCATTTATATGAAATTATGCTACGGTCTATCACCACTATGTATCAAATAACACACGATAATAGTAAATAAGTTACACTGTAGTACAAACAAAGTTAGTTGTATAAATAAAGTAAAGAAAGTATTGAAATAATCTTAACAGTAAGACAATAATATGTGAAATATACTTATCCAGTATAGGAGAGGTTAGTAAAGAGTCTAGTAATAACTACTTTGTGTAGTAGTAACATTAAGAAAATGTGTCAAGTGTTCTGCTGTTTAAGTCAATATAGTAAAAGTTGATAAAATATAGATAATAAAGTTGATTCTTATGATAAAATAGACATTTAGTTTTCAAGAATGTTGTACCGAGCCAGTGCAGTATAGTACAGTAATCTAAGTCATGTACAGAAACAATTTATATAATATGTATCTAAGATCACAGTGAATATTAACACGGAATAAACGTAAACAAATCTATTGTATTAACTTTTGAAATAATATAAACATTTCTAAGAGTACCACATGTTGAATAATAAAATGCCTATCTAGTACATTACTTACAAATAAAGGAGAGTATACCTAGGTCAGTAGTAAGTAGTAGTAATAGTAGTATTATTTTGTTCATTGGTTGTAAATAACCAACAGAGAGTTAACTGTGACTTACACTACCTATTTTGTAGGAGTGGATATACAGTTTATCATTTTAACAAAACGAATAAAATTAAGTGTAATTTAATACAGAATTTTAACTTCCAACAATAAAAAGAAGAATATAGTAGTAAATATGTTACACTGTAGTACAAAGAAAGTTAGTTGTATAAAATTGCTTAACAATAAGACAATATGTGAAATGAATAAAATATTTATCCAGTACACAATTCACAAAGAGTTATGTACAGAAACAATGTATATATAGTATCTAAGAGCACAGTGAATAATTAAGCATGTAACAAATTCCAACCGTAGGTTAGACCCTACTTATTGTCATTGGATGTGAAATGATATCATTGGTACTTACAAATAAAGGAGAGTAGACCTAGGTACTAAGTAATTAGTATAGTAGTAGTAGTAGTAATATGAGAATTTGTAAGAAAACGTGAAGTGTTCTGTTTAGGTCAATATACCCATAGTAAAAGTTGGTATATTAGTATAGTTATAAGTTAATGTTAATATTAAAATAAGCTTGACCCGTGTTTGATATGCAACTGAAATCTGAAAACAGCGGAAACACAGTTGATGTCGTTACAGTTATTCTACAGTTTGCTTTCCATAAATTTATATAAATAAGTTGAAATAATATAATAATAATAATATAATAAGTTGAATGGATTCTTATGATAAAATAGACTTTTTAGTTTTCAGAATGTTGTACCGAGCCGGTGCAGTATAGTAAAGTATAAGTAGTTTATAGTAGAGTAATCTAAGTCATGTACAGAAACAATTTATATAACATGTATCTAATATACACAGTGAATAACACACATTACAACAAATGTCAATTAACATGGAATAAACGTAAATTAAATTAAATTAGCACTGCAGACATTTTTGTCGAAAAGTGGGCTGCACTATCTAACACTATATTAAGTATAATATAGTGAATGTTGTGTAAATTGATCGAACTTGATGTGGTGTTATGAGAAGGCAATAAAGTGAAATGTATATCATGACTTTTGTTATAATATGTCATTCACTTGATATCGTGTATTAAACAGTAACTCGTGTGAGCTTAAAATATGTATTACGTTGAAAATGACATTCGAGTTAAGTTATTTTCAGGTTGCTAACATACACAGTAGGTACATTATAAGCTCATGAGAATACACAACAGTATTAGTGACAAAGTGTAATGATTACTGGCAGTCCGGCTAGACGGGTATAGAGTCATGGTGTACCGCATTGAAATGATATTTATTGAATATATAATTTATACACTCACCAAAGACGGCACTGCTGTGGGCCACAGACGGCGTCGTTCCGCGTTTCCCACTGCGTAGTCAATACCGGGGACAAAGTGCCTCGAACACAACTTAGATGTGTGGGTCACGGGAAAACCTTGGTCAACCACAAATGCCTCCCACTGAAGACGACGATGTGCGACACTTGGAAATCTAAGGCGACATATAATCTATTATAATATATTGATTGATAAGTAGGTATTGGTACGTGTTGGGTGAATTACTTGTGTACGGAAACGTCGATAATGTTGTCCACAATTCCGCATAGCGCGCATCGTTTGACCATTTTTAATAGCCTAAAATCATCACGAACAGGTTATAGTAATAATAAGTTAAAATTGAATACTAAATATGAAACTCTTCAAAAAAAAATCGTCGCAATCGTATATTATAACGACTGTAGGTATCAGTTTGTTATCAGCGGTGAGGTATGAGACTTGGAAGACTCGTGTGTTATTTTTAGAATTAGGGGATGTGCATAAGAAATAGAAAAATACCAAAAATGACACAAACAGCACAGTTTACTGTTAACGCAAAATGTCAAGCGATAAAACACGTGTACCTACCGCAATGGTAACGCGCCGAAACGGCCAACGGACTTACACGTCGACTGGATAATACACAGCTAATACGAATGCGGATATAAAAAAGTTATAGGTATTCAAAGTAGGTACATTTGAATAAAAAAATGAAACACAAAACGCGCCATTACAACGACGTCTGTAGGTGGTGCAAACACGTTCGTTCGCGAACCTGTAGTTTATCTGAATATTATATAGTAGTAGATATTATAAAAGTTGTACTCACCGGTATGTGAAAAGCGCCCAATGCAGGACAACAAAGTTCAAAGAAAAGCACCGAATAGTAAATAACTAAATAATAAAACGTATAACTGTATTTGGCTTTTCCAAGAGACTTGATGTGCTTTGCAAGAGCGCCGGTCACGAGTTGCTGTAGGACGCAGGTTGTGCGTTTCGCGTCGACAAAGTTTTCCCCCCGAGGCTCCACTCCACCCAAGTACGCATGTAAGACGGACCCGCGTAGCGTATCCCACCAAAGTCTTGGAACCGTTATCTTAATATTGGTAACCACGGGTCTAACATCATGTAGGTGCGTGGAACCGTTTGCATGTTTTTTCGATCCTACCGCGTCGAACCTTCCGATGACGCATCTATTTATGACTGTATAATATAGTAGATACCAACTCGACGGCAGCACCACTCCATCACACTCCGGGCGTATAATGTCGCGTATAAATGTATAATAACGGTCGTACGTAGACTCGTAGACAGTGTCGCGCGCAGTGTTCTCCTAAATCGTAATAATTGACAATTAATATTACACACGCAGGCATAAACACATACCTACACAATAACACCAGGGACTCGTTTTTGAAGAAGTAGGGCCGCGCGCCGGTTATAAATTTAGCGGGGAACGCGAATAAGTCATCGACGGGGAGGGTGATACGACCGAAAGGGGTTAAAACTCGAATTTTCGAAAAAAACGGCAAAAAGAGCAGTCATAATATAGTCGTACTACTTGACTGACAGAGTTTAATCAGTTCTTTTAGATCTATTAGTTTATTAATATCGTATTAAACAATATTTAACCAAATCGGAATCACTTAAAAACCGTAATATATCAAGTAGGTACTACAATATATGTCATATAGGTTAGTTATATTATATTGTATTTATAAAAGAAACTTATTTACATATAGGTGCGTTGGTCACGGTAAAATCAAGTATTAATTAAATGCTAATTATAAAATAAATATAGTTAAGCGAATTATAATATATACAAATACCGATATGTTTAATATTATAATAACGCGAATTTTGAAAAAAAAATGTGACGAAAAAAAAAACGCGAAAAAAAAAATTATCGATTTTCGGGCGGCGGGTTCGAAACCACGACCCTCGAGTCACCTATCCTAACGCCTAACCAACCTAGCCACCTACTGAGATGATATCCTTAGTCAAATGTATGACTCTTAAGCCGCGTCGCCGTGCTCGCGAAAAGCGAACGTCGTCTGGACGGCCGGCAAAGGGCGTTTGAGCGGGCGATCCGACCGCGTCGGGGAGCAGACGACCGGCTCCGCCGCCCTCGGACGTATAATACCCGAGCTTTGCGAAAAAAATCGAACTTCGAGACTCACTTATTTATGCCTGTATATAGCGGTACCTACTCGATACCCAATCGGTACCTACTCTCGTTTAAGCGACGCCGGTCCTCCCCGGGGCTCGTTTTTGAAAAAGTAGGGCAGCGCGCCGGCTATAAATTTAGCGGGGAACTCGAATAAGATCCAAACGGGGAGGATCGAGGACCCGAGGGGAGTAAGAGTCGAAAATTTTGAAAAAAAATCGTGAAAAGTGATAAGGAGGAGTGATAACGCAGCGACCGCGACGGCTCCGCAAAAAACGACGCGACGCATGTATTTATGCCTGTATATAGCGATACATACACGGTACCTACTCTCGTTTCCGCTCACGTTTAACCTCCCCTGGACTCGT